CGCCAAAGCACCGCCGCCTTGCAGTGGGAGATGAAATCAGTGGATTGGAACGAGAGAGTATACGAGGTAATGGGAGTTCCTCTCGAACCTTCGTTTTGCGGACGACATTGTTTTCTTTTCGAGGAATATCACTGAAGCGGAGACGATGTTGGAAGTAACGAAGAAAGGAGGCGGATAGGACTGCGAATTAATTGGAAGAAAACTCAGTTCATGAAGTACGCTTTTTGCGAGGATCAGGAACTGGAATTGGAAAGCTCCTCAATCGCGAAGATGTTTTTTTACGTATATCTCGGACGTTCGATGAACATGGAGAACGAAAACAGGAGGCAAAAAGCAGTAGGCCGCCTTCGGGCCCCTAAAGCCACAGACCAACTGACGAACCCAGAGCTCCGGGTCGAGTCTGTTCGATTCAACCGTTCTCCTACGCTCTCTTACACAGCAGAGACGTGGCACTGGTTACGTCGACGGCACTCCGAACAGCCCACAGAGTGTTGGAACGACGTCTTCTGAAGTACAACCGACGCACTGAACATCTCATCGGACTTCGCAGTTCAGATATGAAATCATGTCTCGTCTTCGTGATCCAGCGGAACATCAATGGGTTGATATAATGCGAAGGACAGACGACAGATGGACACTAAGAACTCTGGAATGGATGCCTTGCGAAGCAAAACGTCCTCGAAGAAGGCCACCGACCATATGGGTTGACGTGTTCGTTGTAGGGGTGGAGCAGCTAAATTCTCAGTTTGTAACGAGTCATGGATCTAGACCTCGCGAACGTCGCCGCCACAGTCTAATACCAACATCGTGGATGACGCTAGCGAAAGACAAAAACGAATGGAAACAACGCTGGGGCCTGCACGACGACTGATGACAGGACATCTAAGTATCCAAGTAAGTAAATACAACGAAAGAGTTCAAATATGCAAATGGTTCTGATGTGAAAAAGCTAAAGGCAGATATCATCATCTGCACACATCATGTTGAAGTCTGACAATACAGAACTTTTCATAAATTAATTCCTTTCGGTAATTAATATAAATGTTTTGAATTTTCAAAGTATAGAAAAAAAAACACCTCCTACCTTTAGATTAACATCATCAAAAAAGTTCTGCGTAACATTTCCTGACTGTCCATTTTGAAGAGTCTCCGGTTCAAAAGCCACCGAAGTCTCTCCCAGTTCTAACATCCAGCGTTGCTATGATCTATTGAGATGATGTGCTCCTATCAAAACAAAACACATTCTAGGCTCATGGTTCAACGAGATAAGAAGAAGCCAGACATTGCGATATCGCTTCAACGCTGCAAATTCGATGGCTATTCTAATACTTTATCCAGAATAAAAAAGCTGCATATAATGACATAACAAAATGAGAGTTGGATTTTGAAAGAGAAAAAAACATGGAGAAAAAAGTAATCATATGTCTCCTTTCCTACCACGGAAGCGACTTCTCATA